CTGGAAACAGTTGCTGGCTTCCATGGTGTAAATCCTTCTAATAGGTGGGCAGAAGCCAGGTCATTTGTTATCATGTGGTGAATGGTAAGAGTTGTAGATTTTATTCTTGGAAACCACTGGAGGGTTTTTAAGCAAGCAATGTGAAATGATGATCTAATTTATGGTTTTAAAAGTTCCCTGTTGAGTAACGCACTATGCAGGAGAGAGGGTGGGCAATTAGGAAACTCCCCTACTAGCCCTAGCTTACAAAGGTGGTAGATTGGAGACGAAACAAATGGATAAATTCAGGAGACTTTTGGACATTTTTGAGGTGGAGTCCACTTGTTAATGGACTTGTTGCATGTGCAGTAGAGAGGAAGAGGAATGAAAACTGGTATGATTTGCTCTCAGAAACTGTGCAATGGTATGGGGCAATTTATGGAGTGTAGAGAGCAATCTGTGGAGGGTGGGGAGAGGACAGAAGTTGTAAAGTTTGATTTTGGCCCTACAAAACTTGAGCGATACCTAGAAAACAGGGGAACTAACAGGCATTAGTTTTTTATTTCTAGGTGTAAGCCTGAAATTAAAGGTAATGTCCAAAGTCACGTATCTAGAACATAGCAGAGAGAACATTTGATCTTAGGCTGAACTGTAAGATCCTGTACTTACCTCTAGGATATACTTTCATTTTATAAATTAACATTCTGAATTAGTTTTTAAAGTATGCTCTTCTTGCTTCCCTGATAATTTCCTGCTACTTACTACATTTAAGGTATTTTGTTTATGTAAACAAGTGGTGAGTCAAACTCTTCTAAGGAAGGGTACATGGAAAAAGAATGCTTAACCATGGGTAGGACATGCCCTGCCATGCAGCTCCTACTGTAGAAACCAGGACATAGGAACTGCATCCCTATACCAGGCAGGTGCTGTACCTCCTACGATTTTAATATGGTTACAGAACATATTTCCAGAAGAAATAACAATAGCTAACACATAACACAGGCAACATATCATACTTTCAACTAAAGTTAACCAAAATAACACCTTTAATTGAGTTGTAGTCTGTTGAGCAACTTAATTCTACATGAAAAAAAGTGCACTAAAATTATCACACTCCATTCTGGTTTTGTGTTTTCACAATGTGACATTCAGCCTCACACATGTGATGGGTGGTGGTCAGTTATTTTGAGCAGTAGACAGGAGTACTTAGAATTTCCAGATGTGCCACCCTATAGACATGCAGCCAGTAAATAAAAATCCAATGAGAGCTGGAATGCTAATGTTTCCTCGAAAGAAAAACTGAAGGATTTAGGGGTCAGCATGGTTAAAAAGCTGCCACTCAATTCCTGCCACATTGCTGTACTTGACCTATCTTTGGGCTGCCAGCAGGTAAGAGCTTAAAAAGAACAATGAAAGGTGATTTGTGAGATAAGGAATAAAACTGTCAATTTTTTTCTTAAGAACACGTTGACATTTTCCTGGTCCTAAGACCATGACAAGTTTGAGAATAACATGGCATATGGGATCTAAAACCTGCCATATTTTTCCGAATTTTCTCTTGTCATCTACCAATTTGACTGTGAAATCATAGCAGTGAATCTGCATTTTTAAGTCTGTGTCTGAGTTTTCATTCCTGGAAAACCAGATCAAACTGCAGATTCTGAAACCTGATACCTAAAACTTTCACGTTCTCCTGAAATTGTGGCTATTCAGGAGGTTAAGAGTATGTGTGGCAATTAATTGAATTTGGTCATATATGACTGTCAGTGACTAAGAACATCCAGTCTGACTTTCTTCAGAGCTTCTGGCTGCTGTCTCCATCACCCACAGAAAGTTCCACACGTAGTCCTGAAATATCAATTTTTTTTTTTTTTGTGGTGGTTCTAGGGTTTGAACTCAAGGCCTCACACTCGCTAGGCAGGCACTCTACCACTTGAGCCACTCCTCCAGCTCTTTTTTTGTGAGTGTTTTTGAGAGAAGTTCTCAAGAACTACTTTCCCTGGCTGTCTTCAAACCATGATCCTCCTGATTTCTGTTTCCTGAGTTAGGATTATAGATATGAGCCACTGGTGCCTGGCTCAGGGCAACTTTTAAGAAAGATTTCATAGAGTTCTGTACTCTGGGCCAAGATTCAACCGATTCTTCAATTTTCAGGACGGGCAAAATAGTAGAACTAATGGTGGAGAGCCACTGGAATTCACTCTTGCCTCCAGTGCATTGTGTAGCACCATTCGAAGGCCCTTACTGACAGACACTTCTGAACACTTTTATTTTATTTTTATTTTTATTGTCCTTAACTCGAAACTCTCCGTAATTCAGAATTCTGTGTAAATATAGGGCCAAATCTGCATACACTGGGTCTCCAAATTTCTCATTTAGTAGCAACGGACCTCCATAGACACTATAGTTAGACTTCTCATTTATCTTTTTATTAAGAATTCTAATTCTCGTTTTCCTCAGGATCCAGACTCATGGCATGAGTTTATATTGCCTGGAACCCTGGAACCAGGACTTGGTTCTGAAATGTCCTCACCTTTAGGCCGAGGCCTTATGGGGCTATTGTTTAGTGAAAGTTCCTCCTAACAGGTTGACTCACCCACATCTGTCAGAAGAGAATGTTTTTTAGTTCTAGCCTTTCACGTTTTCTTTCTTTTCATTACTTTTTTCCCCTAAGGAAATGGCCCTTTTGTGGTGTCATTTTGATGGAGAGATATTACAAGTAGTGGTTAAGTTTCCCAGCTAGCCCATGTAACTCACTTTAACCATAATTTGGCTGAATGACAGTTTTTAAAATCTGTGGTCTTTTGAATGGTTAAATATATACTGTGCAATGCATTCTTTGGAAGCTTAAAAAGAAATGTATGAGACACAAAAGAATTTCCTAATGTAGTAACTGATAAAATGAAGTTTTATCTAAACTATTATTTTTTTTAAGCAGAGATTTAAAAAAATCTAATCCATGTGTCTTTCACTAACACATATAGTAAAGAAAACTATTTCTAAACATTTTCAATGTTTAAAATTTATGGATCACAGCTATCAAAATCATTTTACAACTGTAGTGATGGAATTTAGCAATTTAACATATGTTTTATGAATTAAACCTTATAACAAGTACTTCGTACTTAGTATAAAACACATTTTACAGAAAATACTGAGCTTGAGGGAGATGATATAACCCACCTGAATCACAAAGAAAATTATGACAGGGACCGCACTCAAATGAGAGCAGTTCAAATTCAGACTTTTATCATTGCATTACACTGACTGACTAATGCTAGAGTTGCTTTGTAAATAAACAAATTTTACATTAAGTTGGCATAAATTTTGTGAGTCTGCCATGATACATTTTGTTTATCATTCTTTAGGATTTTAGAGTTTACATATAACATAACATGGCAATTTATACACAATAAAGTATGGGGAATAAAACATATTTTGGCCTTTTCATAAAATGTATATATATGTATACTTGTATTATTTATGTTATATATACATATACACATAGAAAGAGACCTTAATTAAAAATAAACAGCTTTATCATTGGAATATTTGATACAAATCTTTCATTATTTATAAACTCAAATTTCCTTGCTGTTTTTTGAGTATTGCTGTAAAACAGTACATCATATGCTGTGAAACTGATCATATACAATAAAAATTTTAATACATTAAATTAATCAAAAACATTTCTACAACAGTCAGAATAACTCATCTGAAGTCTCTAAATTTTGGTCATATTCACACATCTATATACATGACTAATGGTATATGTATGTGTGTATATATGTATATACATATGCAACTGTCAGTCATTTGGGGTTCTAACAAACCAATCTTGGCTGAAGAACATTTCAACAAATATTTTTCCTAAATGACATTAATATAAATAAATTACATTTAATACAGAACTATTGAGTTATGACATTAATTTTCATCAGTAAATGTTATAAGGAAAATGTCACATAATTCCTTAATCCTTTAGAAAAGTCAAAGATTTATTCATTCATTTAGTCAACAAATAAACACCACCACCTATACTATTCAAGGTATAAAGATTCTTTCACAAGTTTTCGGCTATTTCAAAATTGAATTAGAAGTGCTCTGTATTTATGAACACAGTCTATATATGCAAAACAAAATAGTGTTAACAGTACTATCTAAAAATGTCTGTGAAAGGGGGACTACTTTGCGGGGGCAGCAGGAAGATGCAGAGCTTAAGGGGAGAGTGATGGGTGAATACGATCAAAGTATATTGTATGCGTTATGAAACCACAATAATAAAAGTTACATTAAAATAAAAAATTATATAAAAATGTAGGGGTGATAAGAAAGAGCAATGGAGTTTGTGGATATGATCCAAGTAAAGTATATGCATGTATTGAAATGTCATGATGAGATCCATCTGTAGAAATAATATACATTCATAAAAATGCTAACAATACAAAATGATTTCAAAAAGAAAAAAGTAGGTTGTGTTTTATCGCTTTCTGCTACAGACCTTTATGTAACTACTCTCTCCAGGCACTGAAAGCTGACTGTGCTGCTTTTCATTTTTCAAGGCAGTTCATTACACCAGTCACTGAACACTTGCTCTCACTTGCACACGATGGGGCTCCCTGAACGCTGATTACAGCCACCACTGGGTTGTCCACCTTAGAGGATTAGTGAGGCAGAAATCTGGACCCACTCTCTTATCTTCATGGCCTATTAGTACCATCTAGATGCTTTCAATGCTAAAGTAGTTCAAATGTCTCCTGACTTAGGTGGTAGAGTGTAAGTTCACACCCAGAAGTGACTTATAGGATGGGACACATTCTGTTTTACAGAAACAGAGTTTTGCTTGTGATGTGCTTAAGCCATCACCACTTACATGTACATTTCACAAATTTATGTGCTATTAATTGCATAGATACAGTCAGCAATCCATGCATTAATAAATCTCAACAAATAATTAATAATAAAATATTTTCAAAGTCAAAAAGACATTATTCACAAGTAGACAGTTGTAATGGTCTTACCTGAATCTGTGGCTGTGACCATCAGGACAAAGTGCTCCTTTGTTTCTCTGTCCAGACTCTGTGTCACTCTAAGATCTCCATTGACTGAGAGAATAAAAGCATTGTCCTCATTTCCACCCAACAGAGCATACGAGAGTTTGCTGTTCGATCCTTGATCGTCATCTCTTGCTACCACCTGTAGCATGCAAAGAATGAAAGTAAGCTTAACATAAGCTATGCAGGATATAAATAAGCCTACTAAAAGATAATGAGGTTGAGCTGCATTAGAATTCTTCAAAGATACAATTTCAAATGAAAAATAAAAACAGGAAAGAATTGCACACATTTATTTGTGTAAAAATATGCATAAAACTAATGCCAGACATTTTTGGCAGGCTCAATGAAAATTTTTAATAGCAGTTTCAAGTTGGTAGTTGAATTTATGGATAAGAAAGGGAGAATGTTAACTTGTAACATTTAAAAAAAAACTTTGACATTGTTCTATTTTATTACTATATGCAAATACTGCTCTCTTGGTGAAACAAAAACTAACAACACTCCAATACGTCCATGTGTGCAAAATGAATATACACAAATGAACATAATTGAAATGCAATATTTAACATATGAGGAACTTTTAATAGGTTTCAGGTATAATGATCATAAACTTTCCTTCTCAAGACTTGGTGTATCTACATCTAACATTTATGGATGAGAGTGAAGAAAGGATGGGGTGACATGAACATTGAGGAAGACAGAGCATTCAAATCAGCTGTCTGACAGTGAATGTAATGCTTGTTATATTTAAATATACTGACCTGAAGAATGGTCCTGGGAAGTGTCCCTAAATTCTCAGGAACGTTTACAGAATATGGAGATAGTTCAAATATGGGGACAAAGTCATTAATGTCCAGTAAAGCAATGTTGACATTGGAGGTGTCAGTTCGGGGGGTGCTGCCCCGATCTGTAGCCTGAACAATTAAAACGTAAGTAGGGGTCTTCTCTCTATCCAAAGGCCTAGCCACAGTGATGGTACCTGTGACAGAGTCAATCCGAAATTCCTGATGGGTGTTGCCATCAATGATGCCATAGCGGACCTGTCCATTTGTTCCTTCATCTGCATCTGCTGCGAATACCTGTGTGATGTCTGTTCCTGTTAGTGTGTTTTCGTGAATTTCCACTTTATACAAAGGCTGTGCGAAGGTGGGGCTGTTATCATTGATATCCAGCACCATAACTACGACCTCTGTAGATGAAGACAGAGATGGTTGACCCTTGTCTGTAGCCACCACGGTCAGAGTATAATTAGAAACATCTTCTCTGTCCAGTTCTCCTGTGAGCCTCACTTCTCCATCAATGGTCCCAATACTGAACTTGTTTCCCAAAGGGCTCAGCAGAGTGTACTCAATGTAGCTGTTTGGGCCACTGTCTGGGTCAGTTGCTTGAGCCTTGAAAACAACAGTATCGATAGGTGTGTTTTCTGGAATGTATGTCAGTTTAGGAGAAAGAAATATTGGTGGGTTATCATTGACGTCCAACAGAATGATGGAGACTTGAGCAGTGCTTGTGAATCTGGAGGCTGGGAGCTGTGGCAGGTCATGCACCTGAACCACGAGGTTGTAGAAGGACTGACTTTCACGGTCCAAAGCTTTCAGGACTTTCAGCACACCATTCTTGTCAACTGTGAACTGCCCAAGACTATCGCCTGAAGCAATGCTATAAGCCAACTGGGAGTTGATGCCTGAAATTGAAGGGAAAACATTAAACATGTCCTGATTGGAAACTGAGTTGCATCAACAGTTTTGGCACAGAGCTGTGCACGTGTGCTGTATCATACACCCAAAGCTTCAGTGTGATTTAGCTGTGCTTCAATTTTCTGTGAATAATGTATATGCTAACTTTTCCTGTTAACTTTTGATCTGCAAAAATGTTTACAAACTGCTGAACAAATGATCTAGACATTGCTTGCTATTTACTATAATGTTGAAATGTTAAGTTACAAAGGAAGAGGCAAATATTCCAGGGGGCAGATATTTTCTAAGCTTTCTTTGTTTCTATCACACAATTCTCCAGGGCCCAACGCTAGCCGTGCCACTCTGTATCATTAAACAAACATTTATAACTTCAGTAATTTATTGAGGCTGACATCAATTTTCAGAGAAGAGTAATAAAATGTTCTGATGTATGACATTAGTCATGGATGCTTTAAGTCTACTTTTACATTTCTTGTCAGAACCAATAAAAACTTTTTAATTCCTATTAAGCATCTGGCCAAGTAATGGCCTTTGAGAAAATAGTTCTCTCAAATATATATATTATGTTTTTAAAAATATTTCTTAAAGAATTGTTAGCAGTCAAATTATACATGAAAGTCTCCAAATATAAATGTTCATGCACTTACACTGGGCAATATTTAGATAACGCCTTTTTCTCTAGGAATATATGCCACTAATTTTAAAAAATATTAAAAATCCTCATTTCAGAAAATGATTGTAGAGACTCTTGTAGCAAAGGTGAATACCTCAGCTTGTTTTTTAGGAAATCATTGACAGGTAAGTAATAGATAAACAGTGGAAACAGAGAGAAAGTCAGATTTTCTGTCTCAGAGTAGTGTCATCTTCCCTGGTCCACAGAGTCATGTGCATCTTTATGTTTTATCCTAAGGATGCTGGGAATATTATAGGATATTATAATGAGAAACATGTTGTTCACTTAAATAATCCATCCTTAGTAAAGATTTTACACTTGGGGTCTTAGAAATACCTACAGAATAACAAATTGCTTACAAATAAATAGGTCTGATATTTCTGAAGATAATTTCAAATATTTAGGTTTCTGAATTCCATCTGTCAGAAATAATGCCCACTCTGCCAACAGTCTTCTAGAGCAATTAAACCTTTCTTTCCATTTCCTTCCTTCCTTCCTTCCTTCCTCTTTCTAGATTGTTCCTCTTAGTCTATGAATCCTTAAGTTAACTTTTGTCTTTTCTTGAATCTCATCAAGTTCTTTACAAAGGCAGACTACTTGAATAGTGAATGAAATTTTCTCTTCTAACATGTAGGGTTTGTTCTTTTCAGTAAAGCCATAATTCTGATATTTCTGTGATTTGATGATCTCTAACTAATGTCCTTTGCCTATATGTTGATACAGAGGAAAAATATTTAGAAAATGACTTTCAGGCACTAGTTTGTTGACTCAAACAGAATTTGTTGGGTAAGCAATGGTTTTGTAGATCTTCACAAAGGTACTTTTCACCCTCAGTATGAGTTGTGGCTTTTAATCTTTACAGCTTATTTAAGACTACTCACAAATGAACAAAGCAAAGGTTGTAAAATTCAGAATACTAAGGACCCTGAGCATCAGGAAAAATACAAATAAATAATTCTAAAAGAGGCCACAGGTCAATTTACCAGCTGGGGAGAAAGAATTTTAAGAGCTAAAGAGAAAAAGGTCAACAGCCTGCCTCACTTCCTTATCTTAAAATACCACCAGCTCAGAAAAAAGTTCCACCTACTTTGATATAAAATATCAAATCTCATTATATATGTGTGTGTGGATGGGGGTCTATGTATAAAAAATCTAATTACTTTTAACTACTTTCTACAGACATTTTCTATGACAAAGTCCAGAAGCAAATGTTGAATCCTTGTTCCCTGGAAACCCAAACTCAGACATGATTATTATTGGAAAAAGTTGTGAAAGTACCTGACTAAAAATAAGACCTACAAGTGAGGATATAAAAAAATAGTTCTAGGAAAATATATGAAATGTTTCATATTTGAGATTAAAAAAAATTAGAAATCCAGACAAAATTTCACATGACTCTGAAGCGACTGTCTAAAATGTCTACATAAATCGATTGGAAAGTGAGCAATTAAATCAAGGATCTCAGTGTCCTTAGTTTACACGTACGGTGTTTCCCCACGAAAACAACTCAACTGCAGAGGTGCAAAGAGAAAGTGACACTGAGATTTTATAGTCTGTCGTCAATAGCAGAAAAGCCGGTTCTATAAAAGGAAAAGTTTGGTGGGCTGTGCTGGGGAAGGCAGAAATATGTGTGAGCCTTCACTAGAATTATGAAAGAAGAAAAACTGATTTTTGCATAATGGCAAATATATGAGGTAAAATCATTAAAAATGAACTAAAGATAAAACCTATTATCTTTGAGGAACAAACATAAACAATAGCTATTATTGCACCAAATACTGCAACACAAGGAAACAGCTCTGATCTCAGGAACTGAAACTTAGCTGCTGTGAATCTGTGCTATGGAAACCATGACATTTACTTTACTTTAAAGGAAAGGACTTTTTATTCCTGACAAATCTCATGAGTAAGCTTGGGCTTAAGCTCTGTGTCTAGAAAATACAATGTGGACATATTAAAACTCAAAATGTTCTCTTAACATTTGTAGCTATGAAAAAGGCAAAACTTAGGTCATTTTTCTTCCTGGGTTTTTTGCATCAAATATATGAACAACAAAACAGTAACTACACTAGTCTTCCATTTTAAATTTTATCCCAATATATTAGTACTTGAATTTAGTGGGCTTTTTTAGCCTGTTAGATTTTTAAACTGAAAACAGGCCACATTTCAAACCATTTGTGTTTAATTTTCTGAAAGCCATTTAGTACCATGATTCCTCTTGGCAGTTTTATTGTGTGTGTGTGTGTGTGTGTGTGTGTGTGTGTGTGTGTGTGCTCGCGCATCCGTGCAGATATTTGTCTTTGGATCAATAGTTTAGTTCTGGGATGCATAATAGACAAAATACATAAATGCATAAAGATGTAGCTCTATGGCATAAAATGCATGCTGTTTTAATATGTTGCCCGCTCACAGAGCTGCAGTGCACAGAAGTGATGGAGACAGCACACGTGTGCATGAAGCAGTTCCTACAAGGTCCTCAGAGCACTGGAATACGAAACCCACTCACTATTCACATGCTCTCCATCGCGCACCAAGCAGGTATGGGTACAATTATCTAGCCAAAATTGTAACTACCCATTTTAAAAATGCATCTGCTTTCTAGAAAAATAAAACATTAATCCAGGATATTTTCAAGAGGTTCCAATTTATAATAATTTTCCACAATACTACATACACAGAAGCGTTATCTATCTTATGAAAATCATAGATTTGGCTTAGTCTTATAAAATGATTGGGTAATCTAAAATTTTAACACTTAAACTCTGAGAGAGTCTATATACAGAAAACAGAAAATGTTATATTTATTTTCATATGAAATTTCTTCATCTAGAAATGACTTTATTACTTCATTAGAAAACTTTGATCAGAGATTAGGGTTAATTTAAAAAGATCTAAATAAATATTGTTTGTGAGATACCTAGAGAACTGTTAAGTGAAACTGTATTGGTAATCTTTATAAACAAGGTCACACTTATCATTATCCTTGAAATTCAGAAAAAATAGGAATTTTGTCCTGTATTTTGGGTCAAGGTACAGGAACTTACACTGATAAAAGTATTCAAAACTGAAACAATGCGCAAATATAGCTTAGAACATTTAGGCCACACAAAGGGGAAAAAATCTGTGAAAAATGTCTTAGCGTTAACAATTAATGTCTGCCTGTGATTACATATGCATAGAATATTCCAGCAGCTTTTTGAAGAAAATTTTCCTTTTTTTTTTTTTAATATTTTCCCAGGTCTCTACATTTTAGTTGATGAGAGTAAATAACATATATTAGAAAGTGCATAATTCTGGGAACATTAGGCTCTCTCTGACACACAATAAATAACTTACTGTAGAAAACAAGAATTTATGAATGGTATCATAAGTAGATATATTCTAGGAACAAGCAGATTAACTTTACGTTATAATAAGAGTGAAATGAACGTCAAGAAAGACTGTAGTAATTGTGGTCCTGGTATTAGAGCTACATCTATTTTTCATACATTTGTGTGCCCAATTTTACTTATGTTCGAATAAGAGGAGGAAACTGAAATGCATTCACTCAAGGTTTCTAAAGAAAATATTCCCAAATGTGTTTATTATAACATCTATAAAAAATGTGCCTTTACTTTTCACATCTTTCAATGTGCCATTTCTCTCCACTCCAGAAAGGGAGCTAAGTATAGAACAGAATGAAAGGTAAGAAGCAATGGTATTCTGAGATTACATAAATCATCCAGTCAGTAAGAATCAGGAAATTCTAAATTAAGGTTGATACGCCTGTGCCAGGAGGCATATCCTCAGGCTAGAGATCAGTTTCTGCTTCAAAGTACTGCATTTTGTTTTGTCTACAAACAGGACATTTAGCTGCATCTAGAGGGAAGGAAAACAGAGGTACGAACTTCCCAACAATTCAGCTTCAGGCTGGTAATCTGTAGAGTGCTGTTGCCTCTGATGTTGTATCATATGATCACCTGTATTTACACAAAAGGCCTTAGAAGAAAGACCGAGGGAGACCACTTTAAGAAGAAAGCTGTGCCAGATGCTTTTGCAGTAAGTATAAATCAAACACATGATAGACAGAATTTATACAAAATCTCAACTTGATTGTATAGCATAAATTAAACAGAACTGAGGTGTGAAAGCTTGATAAAATATCATTAACAATTCTCATTAAAATACACATAATTTAGGGGCCTGGCTAGTGGTTCGTGCCTGTAATCCCAGCTACACAGAGGGCAGATCTCTGCAATATCATCATTCCAGGCTAGCTAGGGCAAAACAAGGCAAGACCCACCTGAAAATAACTAAGGCATAGAAGGCTGAGTGTGGCTCAAGTGGTGGACAGCTTGCCTAGAAAGCACCAGTACTGCCACACACTGGTGTGGTGTGTAATTTAATTATGCATTCTTAGGTAATTTTTAAGGCTTTAGTTTCCTTTGCTCCCAAATTTTATCCTTTTTAAGTTCAAGTAATATATGCAAGCATAAATATTTTTATTTGCCTAACAGAAAGTTACCAAAAACTGTTAATGACTTCTTTACTACTAAATTAAAATAGTGCCACACATTTAAGGTGAAAAATAAAATATAACATTAAAAAAAGTTTACAAAATAATAAAATACTCCTTGTATAACTGTTATAAAAGTGTAACTGATAAATTGCTTGACCTTTAAAAACCTCCATAATTACATTCTAATTATACTTCTCAACTTTGAATATATAGTCACAGAATGCAATTTTGGGGCAGCTAAGCAAAGTAAATAAATATAAATGGTTAATATTAATATGAACTATCTTTTCACGATGCTTTTAAAGTATGTTTAATAAACTACATACCATCATCTGCATCAGTAACACTAAACACAAGAACAGTAGATCCTAGAGGTAGATTTTCCATTAAAGAGGTGCTGTACGAACTCAAGCTGAAAACAGGTGGATTGTCATTTACATCTAGGACATTGAAATAAACTCTGATGGAAGCAAATTGTCCGCCACCATCTTCAGCACGAACAGTGAGGATGTAATACTGCTGTGCTTCATAATCTAATGCTCGAGTCAAATTGAAGACTCCAGTAACTGGATTCAGAAAAAATACGCCATCTTCGTCGTCTTCACTCACGACATATGTAATTTCTCCATTCACACCAGAGTCGTCATCTACGGCCAAAATAGCTGCTACCAAAGAACCTGCCGAAAAAGAAGAATTTAACTTAATAAAGTCCACAGTAGTGGGGCAACAAGGACTGAGCTGTTACTAACAAAATGCATAAGACTTGTTCTTACAGTAAAATACTTCAACTAGACAACCGTTATGAAAATACAGCACACATAGCACTCTGCAGCTTTTCACACTGACACTGACATCGGCACCCAATATCAGTAAATTGGGCAGCTTATTTGCTATCCAGGGATCTTAGAGTGTCATGTAAATGTTTTGGGGGAATGAGTCCTACTTTTGACATTTTTTTTCCCCACCTGGCATTACCAGTTTATAAATTTATCTATAAAATCAACAAATGTTTACTGGAGTCCCTTGCTATTGTCTGGAACTATGGATTCCAGCAATAATATAGGCACAGGCCTGGTGCATTAAGCTACACAGGTTATTGCTGTCATTAAGACTAGAAATACATGATGGGAATTTCCTGAAGAAGGACATGAGCCACTTACCTTAGAAGGAGGGAAAACTAGGGAGAAATGTTACTCTATATGTGTAATTCCATTGTCAAATGGAGTTTTGAAAACGTGTTCTACCATGCAAGCTCATTTCAAATGCAATCCAGAATAACATTTTAATTTTAGTAAGAAGTTCTAATAATGGGAACAAAGCATATACACACTGGAAATTTGGGCCTTAAGTATTCAGATTCAACAATCACAACATAATATGTTCAAAGAGGCAAGATTACAAATCAATATTGAGATTCTAGCCACGTTTATTGAGCACTTGCTAATCCTCAGCCCCACACTAGCAAATCACTTGTAGTTTCTATGTAACCCTTCTCCTGAATTCTAACAGCAATTATTGTTTCCATTGTACAGAAAAGGAAGTGAAGCAAAGAGAAAGAATTATCGTGCCGCAGGCACACAGCTAATAACCACTGACCATGGGGTTTCATGTCCTTTTCTCTGCTGTTTCCATGCACAGAAGCATAAGCACTTAGACACTTTTAAAGAGGAAAAGAATATCAAAATCAGTGAAAGAAGAGTTAACAGCCCATGTCACAAATATTTCAGAAACAGAAGTATCTGTAATTAGTAATCAGATAAATAGCTAACCTCATTTGGTCTCTAAAAACCCTAGCAATTTGCTTGGGAATGGCACCACCAATGTTAATGAAAAGATTCACGGATCCAGCATATGCATTTTTGTAGCAAGTAGCATGCAGTAAAGACCTGTTACTGATTAAGGACAACCAAAACACAGCCCATAATTGTGGCCAAAGGTGATTCTTGCAAAATGAACTTGAGTGCACGTCGCCTACCGGGAGTTGTGTCTTCTGGGATGTCGAAGGAGTACACTGGCCTGGAGAATCTGGGTGTGTGGTCATTCACATCACTGACCGTTATGTTGATCCTCATGTCCGAGGATTGCAGACCATCGTCTGCACGGACCAGCAGTGAGTACTTGGAGCGCCGCTCCCTGTCCAGCCTCTTGGTGGCTATCAGATCTCCAGACTCGGGGTCGATGCGGAAGCTGTCATCGGCTCCACTGATGATGGCATAGGTGACCAGGGCATTGGCACCCTAAGGAAAAAGGCCAGACATCTGAACTGCTGAAAGTAAGCTAGGAAGAGCACTGCTTCTTCTACTTTCTTTGGAACATGTATTTGACAAAGTGAGGCTTTGGGTTTTAATCTCACCTGATACTATAAGACTTCCAAAGGTAACAGAAGCTAAGTTAAGGAGGTAAAATATCTGTACACTGAAAACTCTGAAACATGGATGAAAGAAATTAAAGAAGACATGAGGAAATGGTAAGGCATATGCATTCATGAATTGGAAAATATAATATTGTAAAATGGCCATACCATCCAAAGGTATCTACACATTCAATGCAATCCCTATCAAAATCCTAGTAGCATTTTCTGGGGAGCGGATTATGAGAAGTTTATGAGAGCTTGACATAAGCACAGCTGTGCCCAGTAATCAGCAGGCTAAGTTTGGCAGAGCCCCAGCTGCAGAAGACAGCAAGAGGCAAAATGCATCACAGCTGCTTTTCCTAAGTTGTTTACGTTCAGAGAAGTAAGAACGCAGGTTTCTCCTGTTACAATGTCATGCCCCTCCCTGAGAACTGTTGCTCCACCTCCTTGTTTACCACTAGATAAAAAAGACTTGCTGAAAAGGGTTGAGGGGTTTTTTTTATTGGGGGGCTGCTTTCTGAATGATGCAGCTGACTGCTGCTCCTGCTGCTGAGTTATGCTAGAGATTAAAGAGAACAAGGGACAGTGCAAATCTGATGGGACAGTGCAAGAATGAGGGCAAAGACTTTAAGAGAGATTATGCAAAAAAAAAGCTAAAGAAAACATTGGACAGTGTGAGTCTAAGGAAAAGAGACTTTATAGAATAGAAAAGAAGACTTTGGAAGCAAGGTTTTAAAGAATAGTAAAGAAGCAAGGCCTTAAAGAATAAGAGAAAAGAAGCAAAGTGAAAGAAGAGAATAAAGAAGCAACGAGGCTGTTGTGCATCTCCTGACCCCAGCTTTATGCATGTCTGTCTATCATTTGTCCTTTCTGCATCTCCAGTCACCCCCAGTTAGCCCAGTTAGGTTCAGTAGTAATGAAGTGAGAGAAAGCTCACTCTTCATTTATATAGAAATAGAAAAAAATTTGAATTCATATGAAACCATTAAGCCAAATAACCAAAACAACACTGAGAAAGAACACTGTAAGGATTTTGAAATCCAGAAGTGAAACTACTTCAAAGCTACAGCAATTAAAACAGTATGGTACTGGCATCAGGATGGATATATCCATCTTATCACATACAAAACACAAAAGCCAACTCAAAATGGATGAAACACTTAAACAAAAGACCTGAAAATAAAGCTCCTAGAAGAAACACACAAGGCTTCCTTTCCCCACAACATTAGTCTTGGCAGTGATTTCATACCTGTGAATCCAAAAGCAAAGCAACAAAAACAAAGGGCACAAGTAAGATTACATCACACTAAAAAGCTTCTGCAAAGTCAGGGAAACAGTTAAGAAGGTAAAAAGGGTAACCTGGGGAATACCTTTTTGGTATGGGAGAATGAGAAGAAAGGGAGGAAATGTTTGCAAAGTACGTACCTGATAAAGGATTAATTTCCAAAATATAGCAAAAAACAATCTAATAATCTAACTACATAATGGCTATTGTCTCAAATAGACATCTCTCCAAAGAAGAAACAAAAATGGCTGACAGGGATATGAAAAGGGGCCTGTAATCCTAGCTACTCAGGAGGGAGAGATCAGAGGGATCACAGTTCGAAGCCAGCCCAGGCAAATAGTCCCTGAGACCCTACCCATCACAAAAGGAGCTGGTGGAGTGGCTCAAGGTGTAGCCCCTGAGATCAAGCCTCAGTACCATGAAAAAAAAATTCCTCAATGTCACTAACAGCTAGGGAAATACAAATCAAATCCACAGGAGCATAGCACCTCAAACCTGGTAGGATAAATAACAGAAGGTCACGAATATCAGCAAGGTGTGTAGAAATGAAGCCTTGGCCCTCGATTGGTGGGAATGTGCTGGACTCAATGTGAATAAGTCAGTCCCTAAACAAAACTGCAAGCAGATCCAGCAATTTCAGTGGCAGGGATTGCTACCACAGAACTGAAATTAGCACTCTCATGGTCCTTCAAGCACTATTTATGCCAATGAAGATGTGAAATAGCCTAAATGCCCAGTGGTGGATAGGTGAAGTCGATGTGGTACATACACACGAGGGAATATTGTTTGGTTTAAAAGAGGACACTGGGCGTTGTGGCACATGCTTTGTTATCCCAGCCACTTGGGAGGCAGAGACTGGGAAGATTGCAGTTCAAGGCAAGTCCAGGCAAAAATATTAGCAGGACCTAAACATATTAGCAAAACCAAGCAGGGCATGGTGGTACAGGCCTGTAATCCCAGCAATGGAGGTAGAAACATCCAGATCATTCTCCTTTACTTTATCCCCCACTTTCCCCCCACACCCTCCGCCACTGGAACCAAGTCCCAGACAGGACCTGTTTTACCTTCCTCTTCTCTGTTTTTGAAACACTTTTGTGTTGTTTAAGATAGCTATCCAGGGAGTTTCCTTGTGACATTTCCACGTATATATGTATTATAACCTGAATTGGTTCCTCTCCTTTACTTTCCTCTTTTCTACCTTACTCCCCTTCTTATGGTGATCTTGACAGGCTTAAAAATTCTATATTCATTCTTGTATAGAAAGTACATCAACCATATTCACCTTCTTAACTTTGTTCTTTTACCCTCCCTCTCTCGTATGTGACCTCCCTCTCTCATATGTGACCTCCCTTAGTGTGACCTGTTTTTCATAGAATTGCTGTATTTGTATTAGGTATGTACTCCACATATGACAGAAAACATGCAGCTCTTGTCCTTGAACCTAGCTAAGGTCACTTAAGATGATGTTCTCTAGATCCATCCATTTACCTATGGAAGGGTGAATTCAACTATGATATATTTTAAGAACTTTTGTAAATGTTACAATGTACCCTTAACACAACAATATTTAAAAAAAAAAAAAAGAAGAAGCATTCAGGTTTGGGGCAGGGCCTGGGAAAAAGCAAAATCCCACCTAAAAAATAAACTAAAAGCAAGAAGGCCTGGAAGCATGATTCGAGTGGTCCTAAGTTCAAATCCTGCCACGTGTGACACTTTACAGGCATTGTGCTAAGTGAAATAAAACAGCCACAGGGGACAAGTACAGAGTGACATTACTTATATGAGGCACCGAAATCAGCCAACCTCCCAGAAATTGAGAATGCAATGGTGGTACCCAGGGGTCTGGAGTGGGGGAATGAGGGCTAGCAACAGTTCCACAGTAGTTCATAAGACTGAGGGATGACATTGTGTCTAGAGCAAGCAATATTGCATTGTACCCTTCAAAGTCTTATATTCAGTGTCCTTATCACAGTAAGTATTAACAAGGTGCCATTTATTCAATCCCATTAAATTACAATAAATCTCAACCTCCAATGTCGGCTTCAGTTTTAATTTATGAAGTGCCTGGATGAGAGGGTCTGCAGCCATGCTACCACTCCCAAGCATGGTGGACTTGATCTGTGGTGGGCAGGCAGTGTCTCTCTTCAGTTCACACCTCCAAGGAGCCTGTGGTTAGAATGGGGTTCTGAGGTGCAGGGTGACCTTTATACTTGAAAGTGGATTTATATCCCAGACTGCTTGTGCTCTTGTGCTATGGTTCAAGGAAGGACCTAAAGAAACACAGCAAGATCCAAACTCACCATCTCAGGCAAAGGTAATGGAAGGAGTGGGGCTGACTGGGTCTTGTAGAAGGGAATTTCTGCTTAACATACATTAACAAAAATGGTTGGTGTGTAAGTGTGTACAGAGGGAGAGAAGGAGGGCTTGGCTTCCTCACTGTGGAGCAGTTTAGACTGCAGTTTTAACCTATAACACAAGAAGAAGGTCCTGTGAAAATGTTACATTAGGATTATATTTCTGAGACTCTCAAATGAAACACAAATGAGTTGAATTCTATGACCACATACCTCATACTGTGGGTTGGAAGCAAACTGCTAGTGATTGTATAGAGTGAATGCATGTGATGGAAAGTTAGAGAGTGGACACAATGAGTAGAATTGGGGCCCAAGAGAGTAGGGCTCCATTTCCCCAAAGTTGGTGAAATAAGTTGGTGAAACAAGTTCAAAGTCCCTATTCTGTAAAAATGAAAGCAGAGGTGACCTCTTGAGTTCTCTGGGTCTTTGAGCTATGACACTCAATATGACAAACTATAAATCAAAAAGTTGAGAGGAATGGAAAGGTTGTTGAGCATTCATTACGTGTTTACCAGGTGCTACACAGTGCTCTGAGCACACTCCAAGGAGTATAATTAGTTTAAAAATACAAGAGTAGAGTTGGGTAAGTATTGTTACTAACCCCATTCTGGATGTAAAGAGGCTTAGTTGAAAGGATTTGGATCTTGCTATATTGTTTTAGAATTTAGACTCAGAATTCCTGCATACCCAGCAAGATACACAGAATAAACTGACAAAGTCAACAGACTATTGGATATAGAAGTAATGATCACAGCTCTCATTTGTTCACATTTCTCTATATATTCTCACTTCTTTTAACAATCCTATGTGACAGGAGAAAGCGAAAGAAAAAGTGTCAAATGAGTATGGCAGGAATTAGAAGAATGCTCTTATTGATGGCATGTTAGGAACAGGATACGCTTTGATACAGGAAGAAATTAGGAAGAGAAATTTTATCTGTGGTGTGTTCAGTAATGGAAGGACATCTTCATAAAAACGGAGATCTGGTGATGAAAATTTTGGAAAGGTACCTAAGAAAATTATCTGAAGGTCATGTTATGGAGGTGTCTGTTGAAGCCACTGTGTCATTGAGAATTAATTTGGAGCAGATGAGAAGGAAAGAGCAGTATCAAGACTGCACACTGGTGTTTGTAGAATGGGAGGGCAGAGGCAGCGATGGCAGAGGAAGGAGGAGGCCCAAGGAAGTGTCTGCTGCAGAGGGGAGGGGGGAGGGGAGCTTCAGCAAAATCCAATGATAAAAGGATG